TTTTGTCGTTGAGAGTCTTAAAAGTTTAACTTGTTAAACCCACGAACATTACAATATCAAACAAAATAGCTAAATGTGTTTCAAAATATTTCTTTTAAAACAACTAATTGTCAATGTAATATTATTATAAAAACAATAAAGAGAAATATTTAAAATCAGAAATTATTGTAATTGAGCATATCTACATTGGACAAACTGGAAGAATTTTTAAAGATAAGATCACATAACACAAGCACGCGTTTTTAAGTAAAAATTTGAAATCTACTACATATCATTAAATTCGATAAGGATACCTTTAAAATTGTACATATTATTACCTATAGAAAATAAACAAAAGGACTATTAACCAAAAAATGTAATGTAATGCATTGTAATTAGTCGGTAAAATTTCGTTCATTGAAATTGATAACCTGTGTTCTGTCTATTCTGATATGATATTACAAGAAATACAGCCTTATCTATTCAAGTTTATTACGTAATATTGTTTTATTCGCTACCGCTAAAAAGTTGGACAGTTTGGTAACTACCCCCGAGCACTGTCCCTTTTTAATTTAATAAGTTATTTATCAAGTTACCACAAATTTAAATCTAAAACGTCAAACGGTGTAGGTACAGTAAATATCTGTTTATTGAAAAAAAGTATTCTGAGTTAACGGCGTTCTAAAATCGTGTCAAAATGGTCCAGATCGAAGGGGCTTTAAAAGCTTCACCCCCAATTTTTGGCTACGTATGTACAATTATCCTTTGCCACGCTATCTGCTACCTGATTTTACACAAGGTAATTCGTAAAATATCTTAGTTAATTATCTTATGGTTAGTTGATGATCTATCCATGTAGTCTTTTTCTTAGTATAGTTGGGACGTTTAAAATTGGCATAGTCCGTAATAAAAGTGTTACATTTAGTTTTTTCTTTCAACTTACTAACTAGACTATAGAGCGGTTGCTGTCAGAATATCCACTTTTACTCACGACAGACGTTGTTGAGATCATCGACGTTTACTAATGGACATGCCTTAGCGGTCAGAATTGCGGTACAACGAAAGAAAGAGGTGGAATGAAGTTTCGGACAATATTCATCTCTCTCACGATAGTCCGTAAGCGTGTCATGAAAGAGATAGCACTAGTCCGAAACCATACGCCATCTCCCACACTTTTCGAGCCAAGAAATTATTACAACGACATACGGCTAAGACACGTCCATTAATATATGTCAATGGTAGAGATTATCGTAAGCATAGAAAAGAGATGTCAAGTAGGAATTGCAGCGGGCACTAATAAAAATAAAAGAATAGCATTAAACCGATTGGTGTGTAACAGAAAGAGATGCAGACTTGCAGAATTTTACCAACATTTGGCCAACATCGGACTTTAAAGAAAGTTCAACATTCTCAGGGATTTAGGAAAGCTAAGATATAATTGCAAACAGGCAGTTATAAAGCCGACCCTGATCTTTTGCACACCTAAACAACGTCTAACCACTGCACCTTACTATTATTCGGTTATCTCTTTTCACTCAATGTGTACCATTCATGAAGAATTTCCACAGCAAATGACTACAATCCCAATGGAAGCCGGAAAGAAGATACGTCTACTCTCACAGATAATTTACTGGACGCTTTGCCAATTTTTATCGTCCCAACTATACACGACCTACCCTTAAAACATTTGATAAAAAATCCTGTGCATTCTAACCTTCAGAATGTCAAACAATCAAGAAAACCTTAACATCTCCTTTTGTGACGATTTTGGACTTAAGCTCCCGCTTGTTTACTTTTTGGAATATACTGTATAATATTTAATTTTATTAATGTCATTCTGTAGATCCGGTTGAGAGTGTTAAACAGGGTGGCGATGATACTTTTCGGCGTTGTCTTTGGAATACTCGGCAATTATTACAGCTACTTTAAGGAACAAAGTGATAATCTGGTCCACATGAACCCACGGGTTTTACTGGATATAATATACCCTTTTTATATATTTCGAATCACCATGGGTTGCGAAAATTATACTGTCATGAGAGCCCTCTGGCAAATTCTACTAATTGGAATAGTCGGGTATAACTTTCATGTTTTTTAAGCAGATAAGAAAGGCGAAGATAGCCACAATTGATTTTTAAAATGATTGAGATCTATTTACGTCACTTTTGATTTTTATGTCGTGCCGATTAAATGTAAGACAAATGTCATCACAGTAAAGTCGTCAGTCTTAAGATTGTTTGGACACGCACCTCCACTCCTTCTTATCCTGAGCTTCCCACATTATTAACTATTTGCGAACAGTAATTTAATCTAGGTCTACTTCTACCCCTCTTAACTCCTGTTTCTGCTTCTAATATGTCTCTGACTAGACCTTGACACCTGAGAAGGTATCCTACCAACCTATCCCGTCTATTTCTTATTGACTTCCATAGAGTCCTCTGTTCTCCATCATTATCATAAGGTCGTCAGTCCTAAGACTGGTTGGACTCCAGTCCTCCATATCCTTAACTATTTGCAAACAGCAATCTAATCTAGTTTTCTACCCTTCATTACTTCCGTTTATGTTTCTTATATACCTCTGTCTAGACCTTCATGCCTGAGAAGGTGTCCTACCAACCTATCCCGTCTATTTCTTATTGACTTCCATAGAGTCCTCTGTTCTCCATCATTATCATAAGGTCGTCAGTCCTAAGACTGGTTGGACTCCAGTCCTCCATATCCTTAACTATTTGCAAACAGCAATCTAATCTAGTTTTCTACCCTTCATTACTTCCGTTTATGTTTCTTATATACCTCTGTCTAGACCTTCATGCCTGAGAAGGTGTCCTACCAACCTATCCCGTCTATTTCTTATTGACTTCCATAGAGTCCTCTGTTCTCCATCATTATCATAAGGTCGTCAGTCCTAAGACTGGTTGGACTCCAGTCCTCCATATCCTTAACTATTTGCAAACAGCAATCTAATCTAGTTTTCTACCCTTCATTACTTCCGTTTATGTTTCTTATATACCTCTGTCTAGACCTTCATGCCTGAGAAGGTGTCCTACCAACCTATCCCGTCTATTTCTTATTGACTTCCATAGAGTCCTCTGTTCTCCATCATTATCATAAGGTCGTCAGTCCTAAGACTGGTTGGACTCCAGTCCTCCATATCCTTAACTATTTGCAAACAGCAATCTAATCTAGTTTTCTACCCTTCATTACTTCCGTTTATGTTTCTTATATACCTCTGTCTAGACCTTCATGCCTGAGAAGGTGTCCTACCAACCTATCCCGTCTATTTCTTATTGACTTCCATAGAGTCCTCTGTTCTCCATCATTATCATAAGGTCGTCAGTCCTAAGACTGGTTGGACTCCAGTCCTCCATATCCTTAACTATTTGCAAACAGCAATCTAATCTAGTTTTCTACCCTTCATTACTTCCGTTTATGTTTCTTATATACCTCTGTCTAGACCTTCATGCCTGAGAAGGTGTCCTACCAACCTATCCCGTCTATTTCTTATTGACTTCCATAGAGTCCTCTGTTCTCCATCATTATCATAAGGTCGTCAGTCCTAAGACTGGTTGGACTCCAGTCCTCCATATCCTTAACTATTTGCAAACAGCAATCTAATCTAGTTTTCTACCCTTCATTACTTCCGTTTATGTTTCTTATATACCTCTGTCTAGACCTTCATGCCTGAGAAGGTGTCCTACCAACCTATCCCGTCTATTTCTTATTGACTTCCANATTACAAAGCAGTAATTAAGAATGAAAATTAAAACATTTTAGCATTCAACAAGACACTGGTTCCAATTTGGGTCTAACCCATGCTTCCTTAGTCAAAGTTTTTCAATAGTTCCTTTGGATCATGCAGTCATATTATATTCAATACATTCCATAGACAGACTTTCACACTTCTACTACCTTCATTACATCGCCCTTTTCTCCCCCAAATCACCACCCTCAACACCACTACCACAATCAACCCCTTCTCATCAGTACACCAACACTTTTTACCACAATGTACATCGCTGGAATAAAATAGTTTTTTTAGACCTTAAGTTAATATCTGATATTATTGATTCAACTCTTGGAAATTTATATAAATAGTTATTGTTGATTGGTGCGTTGCAGGTTGGGTGGACGACATAGAGCATCGTAAACTCACTGACAGTTTGTACGAACAATTTAGATTAGTCAATAATCTGAAAGCCGTTCAGCCGAGTACCCCTAGAGAAATGATAAAAGAAATTCCGTGGATGGCAGGGGAAGACATTCTCGCCGAAATACTATTTGAAAAGGTCATCCCGAAAACGTTTGAAGCCGGTGAAATTATATGTGCGGAAGGAACTATAGCACCTGGCGTCTTTGTCATCATTCAAGGTCAGATTCTTTTCCTGAAAGTCCATTGCACAATTCAACGATTAAGCCAATCGCCAATAAAACACAAAAAGAAAAAGGGGCCAGAATTTTATGCTATAACTATGTTGTCTTGCTAGTGACATGCATAACTTGCTAATGCGAATCCAAATTTAGTCTCCTACTCATTTCAGGCCTCATCCAGTTGTCATACAANAAAACCAGCGAGTCCTTCCAATCTTTTGTCTCCTATTTTTACATTCGCTCTTTCTTTACTTTTTATTCCCTTGTATGCCGGTATTTTATTTATTTTCATACAATACTGTTTTGTTAATACCGCCCCCATTTCATTTAAAACTATCTCTAACTCCTCCTTGCTAGATGCTAATACGGCTATATCCAACTGCAAATCTAAGCAAAATCTAATCTTTTGCCCCACTATACCCATCCCCACAGTTGTACTGTCTTTAATGATGCTGATTGCGTCTTCCATGTATAGATTAAAAAGTAGTGGTAATAGTGTGCATCTTTGTCCAAAGTGACAGAATAGATCTCTTTGATATCAATATCTTATTGCTAACTCTGCCTTACTAAAGGCTGTCTTTCGTCATCTACGTAGATGATAGTGAGAACCAAGCTTAAACCGTCTTCTTGATACTTTCAGATATTTAATAGCTTCAGTGATGTTAGGACTTCTTGTAACATCGGCCCTTTTTAACACAAACTTCCAGTACAGCTTGGCGATTATATACGGACTGGTGTTAAACCAGAGCTTTACGTACGAAGTCGTCGTAATTTTATCGGAGAGAGTGGACGTGAAAACTGTAAACGTTCTTCTAGAAACCGAAGGCCTAATGACAAACATGGTCTGTTTAATACTTTTCCAAGTAATACTGGGCCACTACTTCGGCTTTGTACAGAAATGGTTTCAAATACTGTCTGTCTTTTTACGGTAAACAATCAAAATTGTTGCAGGTATATTTTGCAGGATGACGTATGTGAGATTTATTGAATTTTAAATAATTACGATACGGTAAAAGTCACCTATGGCAATTTAGTATAATATAGGGTTGTTCGGAAAGTCATTTCGTTTTTTTTTTCTGGAAATGAGACAGTTTTCGTACAATAAACAAATACTTTATTAAATTATATATTGACCGTTCTGGTCCAACACCTTTTGCCATCTTTCTGGTAGTAGCATAATTCCACGCTCATAAAATTTTTGGTCTTTGCTGGCAAAAAACTGATCGAGGAGGTTTTTGACCTCCTCATTTGAGGTGAAGGTTTTACCGTCTAAAAAATTTTGGAGTGACCGGAACAAATAATAATCCGATGGTGCCAGGTCTGGAGAATATGGTGGGTGTAGCATTGTATCCCATTCAAGCTGTAAAAGCTTTTGGCGAGTGACCAAACTTGTGTGAGGTCTCGCGTTGTCTTGGTGAAACACTACACCTTTCCTGTTGATTAGTTCTGACCTTTTCTGTTGAAGTGCATCATTCAGTTTGTCCAGCTGATGACAGTAGACTTCCGAATTAATCGTTGTGTTATCCGGTAAAAGCTCAAAAAAAACGATTCCTTTAAAATCCCACCAAACAGACAGCATCACCTTTTTTTGGTGAATATCGGCTTTGGAAATGGTTTGAGCCGGTTCATCTTTTTTGCTCCATGACCTCTTGCGTTTGACGTTGTTGTATACAACCCATTTTTCGTCCCCAGTGATGATGCGCTTCAAAAACGGATCATTTTCGTGACGTTTGAGAAGCGAATCGCAGACGTCAATGCGGCGACACAGATTTCTCTCTGTGAGAACATGGGGAACCCATACATCGAGCTTCGAGGATAATCCCAGGCCTTTCAAGTGGTCATAAACTGTTGAATTTGATAAATTTAACCTCAATCCGATCTCACGTGTTGTTATTCGCCGGTTCACATCAACTAATGCCTTTATCGCGTCTTTATCAGCTTCAACCGGCCTTCCCGAACGTGGTGCATCTTCGACATCAAAATTGCCGGATCGAAATTTAGCGAACCAGTTCTGGCACTGGCGTACTGTCAACACACCTTCTCCATACACATCAGTCAATTTCTTTCTGGCTTGAACAGCATTTTTACCCTTTCTGTAGTAAAACAGTAAGATATGTCGAAAATGCTGCTTATCGCTCTCCATATTTAAAAGGGCACCAACCAAAAACTACTGCGTAGAATTAATTGGAATTTTTCACACACAAGCCTTGCTATATGAGCTCTCAAAGCATATAAAAATTATACGGCTTAAATGTGAAGTTGGGTGCAAAAGAATACAATTAAATCCTTTGTCGGGATAAAACCAAATGACTTTCTGAACAACCCTATAGTTTCCTCATGTAAACCACAGGTCCCTAAATTGGACCATTTCAAGTAAAATGGCCTAAATAAAATATGTATACTTTACGAATCACTAAAACTTGTCAAAGAAATTAACTGTCTGTCCAAAATCTAAATTCCTTATGAGATAATTTTTTTCCTTTTGAAAACACGAATTTGTTTTGATTTTTAATACTTAAGGCCTGTGGAAGAAATAAAGGCAGTACTAGATGAAAGATTATCTATGGGATATTGTTGCTGTCCCGCATTTGCCTAAGAAAACCATAGAAAAACCTGTAAGGCATGCCGGTCACTAACTTGAAGTGTGGAATATGCTCTTTGTATATTGTTAAAATAGACCGTTTCGTTTGCCCAACATATTCAAGTCTGATTTGTTAATTGGTTTAACGCTTAAAAAAAAAAATCGGTTGTCTGTAAAGTCGGTTTACTGACGATAATTGAACGTGACAACGTCATAAGAAAATACTGATGGAATGGTTTCATTTTTCAAAAGAAAATTTTAATTTTATTTGTTCGATCGATATTTTGTATGGATATTGGGAAGGAGGTAAATACAAATGTATTACTGTATAGCAGCTGTCCACGCGGACGCATCGCTCACTCAAGTAGGAGAGAGACAGATGTCGAACGCTGCCGAACGCGGAGGCCGATTGTGCCTCTTTGTCGCTTGTTCCGCGCTCTCGCTTGCACTTCAAGCCTTAAATGGAGCGCCTCAGAGCGAGGTAACGCCGCATGAGTCATGTTTTTTTCGTGCGTGCAGCCGGCTCCATCGATTTATAAGACGTTGTCACGTCAAAAAAATAACAATGTAGAACACGAAAAGAGAACTAAATGTAGTAACGAGCTACGACTTTAGGTTAAATTAGGTTAGGTTAGCATAGATTGCTGTCCAATGTGGAGAATACAAATCAATGACACAATAGAAAAAGGAAGCTAAACTTTTGGGTGTTTCGTTCCCACCAGCCAGTAATGCTGGTGGACGAGCCATCCCTCCGCACTACTCCGGAAGGTAGGGCGGAAGAGCCTGCTTTCAGGAATCGGGAGAATAGGTGGGTGGTGGTTTGGGTGAGAAAGACGAAACGAACGACGTCCTCCCGGATGCTAAGCAACAGCGTCTAAACCCTAGGCCATGCCGCTCGGTGGCTCAATAGCTAGATTTTAAGAGTATTTATAATAGGAAAATCAAAAGACTCATCTCGCCACATGTTCATATTTTGTCTTTTAGTTTAACTATAGGAGGACTGATAGCAGGAGTTATCATGTCCTACGTATCGGTCATGTTGATCAAGGGCAGCATCCACGATCCGGCCCAGTTAATGTTGGTGATACTTTTGTGTATGCTGTCCAGTTATGGATTCCCAGAAATGCTAGCGCTTCAAGGGATCGTAAGTTGCGCATTTGTAGGAGTAGTCCTGGGAATGTACAGGACAATGTTTCGAACCCGCGTTGACCGCTTTATTCAAGTGTTTTCTCTGGTACGGCATCAATATTCATTGATCACATTAATCGATGTCCATAATGGTGTCTCATTTTTACAGGCTCCCACTTACATAATCCAAAACGTTGGTGCCTTTACACTGGGAGTGTTACTGGCTCAAGACATCTCCATTAACATAACTATTCGTATGGTTTTACTTGTGTTCGTAGTATATTTCATTTTGTACCTTTTGCGACTGTTAGTTCTCTTTTTGCTTTCACCAGTTCTAAGCCGCATCGGATTCGGTTTGACTCTTAAGGAATGCTTAGTACTTGTTTGGGGAAGTACCCGAGGATTGTATAGGTTCGTTATCATCTTAATATTTTTTTGCTGTACAACGCAATCGAATTTCATTCATTTCATTCAATATATCTATCTAACGCAATCTGTAGATTTTTTGCTAACATACAACTAGTATCTTATATCAACAGACGATGGCGCTCGCCATCTGTCAACCATTGTTTAATAATCCAGTTTGGTACATATAGTAAATTTTTCATTTCGAATACTGCTATTCTTTCAGTTTCATCTTTGCGCTGATGCTAATACGGGAAAATGAAGAAAATTTGAACATAATAGGACAACATTTACTGTTCGTGAGCACTGGTGTAATGATGTTGTCAATGGTTATTAACGCGACCACATTCTCCGCAATACTTCGCATGTTTGGAATAGGCGAGATTTCGACATCACGAAAAAACAACATGGCTTCATGCCTGAAACGTCTGGAATACAAAAGGACTCGTTGTATAACAACCCTAAAATACGACAGGTTAGACTATTCAAAGAAAACTGATTGTCTGTCGTTACAGTTTCCTTCCTTGCCATAACATGAAGCAGCTTATGTGTTTAGATATTCTTTTATAACGTACAATAAAACTTACCAAACACGGGATTGACTGTTTCGTCATGAATCATATCCCTTATCAAATACCTACTCATCAAAATAGTCAAAATTGCAGAATGGGACCTACCCCAACCTGTAGTGTTTAGGCTTTCACGGTCGGCGTACATTAATACAGCGGTTTCTTGCGAGCTGTGTTGCCGTGATTCAGGGAGTTTTGATGTTCCAAAGGCATCTTCAGTGACTGAATGGTCATTACTACCGTCAGCAAAGATCAGCGAGACGTCTAAAACATCAAAACTTCATGGACCACATCAAAACAGCCCACAAGAACCATCACATCTACCCCACTTTTTTCATAGCTTTTAGTCTAGGATCTAGCTCAAAAAGTACGTCATATTATTAGATTTCTGTCGGATGTAAAATGGCCGCTGGTATCCGAAGCTACAACCCTCAAACACCCTTACAAAGGTAGAACGTCAGTAGAGAATGACGATAATGATCTATTTCTCGTAAATCGGATTCTGGTTTGTCCCTCATGTCATAATGACGTTCCTTCTGAGCCAACCAGAAAGGAAATGAACGAAATGATAAGGTAATGTAGGTACTTAAAAAAACAACAAAAAATTTCCTAAAACTTTGCTCGAGTCTTAGAATCCAATTGTAAGAAAAATAATTATACTAATAACAATAATAAAGCACCTACACGACGTATAACGGAAAGGCTTCTTTAATTTTATACAGTATTTTTAGCAATTTTGACAAAATAGAGTTCTGTAGAGGTAAAGTAAATTAATAAAACACTCAAACCTAAAATTCTTCAGTGACATAGTCTCTAGCTAAAGACAACAATTTGGATTCTGAAACGGACAAAAGCATTCTATAACCTCGCGGTCAATTTCACTCTATCTATCTGATATGATCCACGAAGTAGGTCTATACGTTTCTTATCGAAAAACCTTACAGAGAGGCCCACAGGCGAATTTTGAAAGGACAATCAGTTTCCTTCGCAAGACAGCACGAGAATGGACTGTTATCTAAGCTTGGCTTTAGAATTTTAAAGAATACCATCGAAACAGCCCTAGAAACTAAAGACAATATGGTCGAATTGAATGATCTTCTTCAAATGCTGCACATTAAGGTAAAACGTTCTTACACTCTTTAACTTTTATGTTGTTGGGTTAGAAATTTCAAGATTTTGAAAATACGGGATTTCAATTAGAGGTACGCCCAAATTTTTTTGTTTTTTCTGTGAATCATTTACAGATTAAAACGAATGTTGGGGTGGTAATATTCCACAGACAATCACTCACCTATCTTCTACCTTCATTTCGCCCACCTCATTCGTCTCTCCTCAATCACTATCCACTTATACACACATTTTGAAAGAGCCCTTCCGCCTTACTGGGTGGTGGTTGGAGTGAGATAGATAAGACGGACGAAATGAAAACAAGGCAGAAGACAAGTGAATATTATCTGTGGAATAAGTATTATTACTTCCCAAGCATTTGCCTAAATGATTCATGGAAACCACGAAGAACTTGGATTGGGTCAGAAGGACCCGGAATCAAACCTGCCTCACAAACGGCACCGAGGATTCGTTAGCCTATGCGCATTCATCTCGATTTCTGTTTTGCAGACAAGTCACACTTTTGCAAGAATTATAATGAAGTATTCAAAAATTGTGACAAGAAAGGCAGAAAAACGCCATCGATACAAGTGCAGGCTCGTCTGCCACATGATCATGAACCACTGGGCTTTTTGGCTTTTTATAACGTTGGTGATCACGGTAAATTGTGTTCTAGCCATTATAAACCTAACGCAGAGTGACAATCGAGATTTATTTTGGTCCTCGACATATTGTAATATGGCGTTCTATATTATCTACCTTATCGAATTCTTCATCAAAGTATTCGGATTGGCTTATACAACTTTTCTGGAGGGACTGCAGAACTATTTCAAGTAAGACAGTCACAACTTATGTCATTTAGTGGGATTTCCTCCGTATTAGCATTCAAAGTCTGCCTTCTTTTGTATAACGAAAATAAATAATGGAGAAATCACTTTTTATTTAAACAGGAACATGTGGAACGTTTTTGATTTTGTTATTCTGTTATCGTGCACTGCTGATGTGACTCTAGCAATATACGTTTTGGTTCATCACAAGGAACAACCGAATTTTTTATGGAAATTAATGACAATCATGAAATTCATTCAGCTTATGCGAATCCTTCGGATGATTGAATTATTTAAACTTCTGATTTGGAAACTAACCCATTTAATGAGCGAGCGGTCCGATAAGAGACTCATGTTATCGTACGAAATAGGAAAGGTAAAATTATTTTGACAAAATGGTGAAAGTTTTTAGTGAACTATTACCGTCCTGATTCAGGTTTAAAGGCCTTTGTCGGTTGGAGTTGCATCGTAATATTTCGTTAGCACAAGTGGCGAACTTCTTCCTAGGTCCTTCCATCTTCGATGCTGGATGTGGACTTCCGGTTTCTCAAAAACTAAAGAAAACTAACGTGATTCATTCCCACCAGTCAGTAGCGCTGGTGGGCGGACAGTCCCTTCGGACTACGCTAGAAGATAGGGTGGAAGACCCTCTTCAGCTTTCTGTCAGAAATCGTGAGAATGGGTGGGTGGTGGTTCGGTTGAGAAGGATGAGACGAACGAAATGAAGACAGGAGAATGAAAGATTATCTTTGGAATATTACTGCCCCAGAATTGTGATGCAAAGAAACCACAAATAAACTTGGACCAATTCAGGCGGATTCAGAATCCGCTCAGTGGTGATTTCTCCCTCACAAATTGTATCTATACAAACCGGTGGGTAGGGGGCAGTTGTTCCGCTTCAGGCAACCGTGACATGCGGGGTTCGGTTGTTGCTGAAGATCGGGTTTCAGATCTGGTTGATTCTGAGGGTCTCCTCCTTGTTGTTGAAGTTCTCCTGATGTTCTCGGATTTCAATGTTCTCTCTAGTCATCCTGCTGTGATAACTGTTGACCGAAGTTAGCAATTTACAGATGTCAAGGAGTATTTTGTAGTTGCCATTGCTCAGTGGGTGTTCAGTCACAGCCGACTTTTCACAATGTCCCGAACGCTAACCAGATAAATCGCCAGTCCACAACCGGCATCAAAAATGGAAGCTCGATACACGTTTTTGCGCGTCCCAATTAGAAAATTAGAATAAAATCAGTAGAGTATTTTGTCTGTTAATTTGTTTCAAATTATTTTACACTTTTCACTCTATGAAAGTGAGTAGAAAAAAGCATTTTCAAAAAGTCTCATCATTGGTGATGATGGACCATCAATCCTAGCTGACGACGGAACCCTAAATAGTCAACGAAAAGTAATTTTTAGGCTTACGTAACAAGTTTGGAAGAAGTTCAAGAAATGTTGCAGCAAATGATTGACAACGAGAAGGTTCGAGAGACGTGCAGACTCGATATAGAACGAGACAGATTAATGATTACAAGACAACTTGGTCTGATTCAAAAAGACAGACCGTGGATTACTATTACTGTTAAGACCAAGCAAGCCATAATCGCCACACTTAATTCCATAAAAAATGTTATTAACGAAATAAAAGTATCAGGTATCTACTTTTTTCATTTTCCTATACTCTCAAAAGATAGATTAAGCTAAAATCAGTCCAAAATGACGAACACTAGCCGCCATGTTGCGAAAATGGCCATTGAGACGCATACTGCTTTTACACTTCAATGAATACTATTAAATCAAAATAAATACTAATGCTCTGCATCTATATATATTCAATTAAATAAAGAGGTAATTGTTTGTTTGTTTATATGTACGTAGGTGGTAATTTCTCAAACTACTAAAGTGATTATAAAAATTTTTAAGCACTTACAAATGGCGAACGACATCTCAGATTTTAACCCACCAACTAAACACTTTCGATTAATGCAACCTGGAAACAATAAAAACAGAATAATTACAATAAAGTAACACAAGATTACAAAGCAGTAATTAAGAATGAAAATTAAAACATTTTAGCATTCAACAAGACACTGGTTCAAATTTGGGTCCAACCCATGCTTCCTTAGTCAAAGTTTTTCAATAGTTCCTTTGGATCATGCAGTCATATTACATTCATAACATTCCAAAGATAGACTTTCATACTTCTACTACTTTCATTACGTCACCCTTTTCGTCCCTCACCCAAAATACCTCCATCAACACCTCCACAATCTACCCCTACTCATGCTTCCTATCGATGCGGTGGTTAACGAAGACCATCCCTACACCAACACTTTTCACCACAATGTACATCGCTGGAATAAAATAGTTTTTTTAGACCTTTAGTTAATATCTGATATTATTGATACAACTCTTGGAAATTTATATAAATAGTTATTGTTGATTGGTGCGTTGCAGGTTGGGTGGACGACATAGAGCATCGTAAACTCACTGACAGTTTGTACGAACAATTTAGATTAGTCAATAATCTGAAAGCCGTTCAGCCGAGTACCCCTAGAGAAATGATAAAAGAAATTCCGTGGATGGCAGGGGAAGACATTCTCGCCGAAATACTATTTGAAAAGGTCATCCCCAAAACGTTTGAAGCCGGTGAAATTATATGTGCGGAAGGAACTATAGCACCTGGCGTCTTTGTCATCATTCAAGGTCAGATTCTTTTCCTGAAAATCCATTGCACAATTCAACGGTTAAGATAATCGCCAATAAAACACAAAAAGAAAAAGGGGCCAGAAATTTATCAAACTATGTTGTCTTGCTAGTGACATGCATAACTTGCTAATGCGAATCCAAATTTAGTCTCCTACTCATTTCAGGCCTCATCCAGTTGTCATACAAACCTTCAGGGACAGTTTTTGAAAATTTAGACAACTACGGAGCTCTACCGATCGTAGACTACATGATTTCGACGCGATTTAACGAAAAGTATGAAGAATATTTTGGGTCTGGAAATACTTTTGGTGAAATTAGTGTTCTTACCCACCGTCCATATAATTGTTCCGTTTATGCAGAAACATTGGTCCAGTCGTACCTTCTTACAAATGACGTATTACAACACGCGTTCGAAGAATCATCAGATCCAATTGAAGGGTAATTCAAACCATACTTAACTTTTTCGTCACAAAGTGTAACGCCTGAGTAGTGTGTTTCGGCCGATTCTGTTCCAAAACGAGCTAAGCGGATGTAATCACACGTGGTAATAAAAGGGTGTCCCGATCCTCCCGGCAGCAATATTACTAAATGGAATCAACATCAGCACAATTCACCAATTCACCCCCAAATCATACAGTATCGTAAAATTCGAAAATATACTAGGCGACAGCACCAATTGCTAAACTACCGTCACTTCGTTCTAGTAAAAAATTGCTTCATAAAGCAAGGTGGCCATATTCACCTGTAGAGTTGGCATGCAGTACATTCAGCAACTGTGCTCGCAACGCGTATATTTCCTGATTTTACGTTGACGCACAAAATATTGGTAGATTGCGCTGGTGTTAAGTACATTTAGTATCACTAGGGATACACTGCTATATAAACCTCTGTTTAAATGATGCTGCAGCGTCAGCAACATATCTCATACTTGCTCCTCTTGTAATATTGTATCTGTTTGTACAGTTTAAAAGCAAAAATGTGGAAAATGATAGCAACACGTCTAGCCACGACGATCCTATTGGAACTCCCAAACTATTCGTCCAAAATTACTGCAAGCATTCGTTACATTTTAGACAGGTCTTTCGTGCCAGATCTGTCACACTTCAAAGTTTTCTCTGTTACCGAATCAATCGAGGATTTAATATTGATAGAAGGAATTGTAATGGACTACAACACCAGAGAAATTTATCTGGCACCGACGTACATACCTAGGTAGCAAAAACAAAAAATCAAGGAAATTTCTCTCATGAAATATTTTTGCGATAAATCTAAAACTCTTGAACTAGTAATCATTTCCTCTAATCTGACCCTTACATCACAATTTATTTAATCTATATACATAATACGTATGCTTCACAGGACAGTTCAAAAATTGGTTTTACCAACCGATGAAAGGATGAATTTCCAAACTAAATTAGAAACAAAGATACTAATATTGCCAAGCAAGGACATCGAAGAATCAGATTTGATGGAATTGATTGAAAACGCTTCTGAAATTGTAAATTATTTTTGCATAATAATCGACGATTGTAATAATCGAAGCAAAAATGCTGATTTTAGAATCGAACTGATAGTTTCCTGCAACTGGCTAAGGAAAGACGTAAACGTAAGAGACGTCAGAGAAGAACGACATTCATTGTGAACAAACGTCATACAGAAGCCCTCAATGTTAAAAAATCAAAATCCTCTGGCCATTCCGATGAAAGCAGTGGGGTAATTGTTTCAATCAGTTACAACTTATAGCAGTAGTATAGCTAAAGGGATACTGTGACACTTCGATGGCCTGTCCATCCTCAGTCCCTTACCATGGCCTCCAAGGCCACCTTGGAAGTCATTATTCAGCTGAAGAATGACCTTTAAGACACCTTGAAGGTCATTCTTCAGCTGAAGAAGTTCTTAAGAGCCTCTGGATCCCTATAGCTATACTACTTATAGCTTGTATTATCTGGTGGCTGTAGTACTTTAAAAACGTTAATGAGTCACAATTTGAAGTGTGCCAAGTTACGTACAAGCATTGTATACAACAAATTCAACATCAAAGAGTGCCACTCAATTATACCTTGTATGGAACTTGGCAATTTCTCAGACCTCTTTTATTGATAGAACGTCGTTTGTACCGAACTTAATAGCCATAAATAGTATTTATATTTAAATTTCACACGTTTCTACAATTTGTAATTAAAAACACTTTGTATAGTGACTATATGAGTTGCCTTTTTCTATTCATCAACATTTAGAGTGAAGAAGTGTCCGTAAGAAGCAACTATACCACGGTCACTGCAGCAAAATGAGAAGAATAGAATGAAAATATTATGCTAATGATTACGAATAAATTATACTCTAATGTTTTTTGTTACTTACGTAATAGTTGAAATGTTGTTTGCTGTTGAAAATAAAGTTGATAATGTTTTATTTTTTTTTATGGAGTTCACCTTTCCTCTTTAAGTCTCAAATGAGTTTCAAAAACTTGGTTGTATTAAAAATAATGTTTGGAACGTTTATATGGAATCTATCTCATGAAATCGAGAACCATCGATCGATATATCCATCGGGATCGACGGTGGAAAGCTGTCAAACCTCTTACTAGATCACGAAGGTATGTGAGTAAACATATAAAGGATAAATATTCGATGATTGAATAATGTCGATGTGTCTGAAGATTTGGGTACGAAAACATCGTTCTGTTTAATGATGACTTTTGGGCTGATTTACCCACTTTGATAGGTATAGATCAAAATGATGATACCTAGGATCAATTGAAGCAGTAACACTAATCCACCGCTCATCCCTATCGTCATATAATCATATCCGTCGTGTCAAGTGTCTTACAGGGTTAGTACAGGGTTCTTTAAACTGAGTGGTACATTAGACGTTTTAGGGAAACTAAGCGTGTAAGAGATGACGAAGTTATTCGTGTTTGAAACTTTTAAAGTTTGGATTTTTTTGCTGAACGCCCAGTATAAATTATGAAACTCAATTTTAGTTTAGCATTAACTGTTCTTTGTAAGCATACACATTGATTATCAAACTTACTTTAAAATTTTGTGTTTCATACGAATTCGTCGTATTGTACCGAGCACGAGCGTGTTTGTGTGCGATCGAGCACACGTTTGCGTGAATGGCTTATCGACTCGCCGACTAGCCGCGGGAGCCTTTCTTCATGTACGCCGTATTTGTAAATGTGTATGTCGTACCCGCGTTCTCGGAAAGCAATTAAACAGCTCAAAGAAAAATAAACTATCCGGATGTTTCCAGACGGTTCTCGAAAGTAAACAAAAGAGTATTTAAAGGAAGAGACGATCACCGAGAGGAGACGAAATAAATTGACCGTTGTACAAGTGGATCCAAAAATAAATTGACAGTGATAGCAGTGAAATAAATAACGCAGTGGATAGTGATATATCATCAGTAGTGTAAATAAATAGAGTAATTCATAACCTAAGTTTAGTAATAATTTAGTAGTGTTTTTAATTTCTTTAATAATAGTTTTGTCGTTATCAGTCTTAGAAGTTAATTTTGTTAAACCCACAAAAATTACAACTGGTGTCAGGTGTGGGGTTGAGTAAAAAACATGACAGTGGCAAAAAAGTTGTACGAATTAAAAGTAGCCGAGTTAACAAGAGAATTGGAAAAACGGGATAAAACGACAAGCGGTAACAAAGCGGAACTTCAGCGGCGGCTCGCGGAGGCGTTGAGAAAGGATGAAAATAATCTTGAAACGTTCCTTTTCGAAGATGTATTGTCGCGAATGATGAAAGTTTGAAACGTGAATTGGAACAAAACAGTAAAAGTTTGGAAAATAAATTGGAAGAAAATAGTAAAAGTTTGAAACGTGAATTGGAACTAAACAGTAGAAGCTTGAAGAACAAATGTGAAGAAAACTTTAATAAGAATATTCAAGAAGCCAACCCAATCTGCCAAGGAAGCGGTATAGAGTCAAGAACACGAGTAAATCCACCAACATTTGACGGGAAGTCTTCATGGACCACATACCACAAGCAATTCGAGGCGGCTGTCAAGACGAATAACTGGGCTCCCGAAGAAAAACCCACGGCGTTGACCGTTGCGCTCCGTGGAGATGTGACCTTGTGAACACCCTTTCCTGGAAGAATTGGCGGATCAGGAACAGTTAGTAAAACGGTTACAGTTGCGCTACGGCGAGGCTGATTTAACAGCGGTGTATCACATTCAACTGAAAACCCATCAGCAGAAACCAACGGAATCCCTCCAAGAATTCGAGGCAGATATTGCGAGAGTGTCTTGACTGGCCTATCCTAATACTCCAGAAGAATTGATGGAAAGGTTGGCAGTGGAGGCATCTACTGGTGGACTTCCGGACAGCGACACTCAACAAACAATACGGCTTGACCCACCTAAGACGCTCGTACGGAACTGTTAAACGGGCCTATAGCAAACAGGGAAAGGTTCGGCTACTGTGTGAAGAAACGGATTCGTCAGAATCTTTAGAAGAAACCGTCTGCCGAATCACCTCCAAGTTCGATAAAGAAACTCGAAAGCTAAGATGTTGGAATTGCGGCGAATTAGGTCACACAAGGAGGCAGTATAAGAAAAGTACTCCTTCCCCAAGTACTCGACGTCAAACAGACTGCAAGCAGTGTGATCGAATGGAAAACAATGAAGAAGCAAATCGACGCGTCACGGTAATCGATGACGAGTAGTTTCCTGAAAGTATAAAACACGACCAAAAACGACCTGGACTTGTAGAAGGTGGTGGAATGGAAATGAAACNTAACATATTCTAATTACTTATTATTATTAAAACAGAAAAGAAAATTTAACAAGAACATGGACGAGTTTTACACTCTTCTCAATGTCATGATGCTTCTTGGCATTCTCTGTTACAGTACTTTAAAATCATACGCGACGCAAGTTTACCGATTAGTGTCGCTAGCTGTTGGTATAGTAATAGGTCTTATAACGCGCTACGTTCCCAGCTACAGAGTTTACACCAAAAACCTACTGGATTGCAACCCAAGATACCTCATAGCTCTCTTTTTCGTGTGCAACGTTTTCCATATTTCTCAAAGTCTGGACTATCATGTCTTGCGAAGATGTTGGATGCAAATAATACTGATATCTACGTTTAGCTTTCTTACTTGTGCAGTCGGAGCAGGTATGTACATTATTAATTTGAAATCATTTTTGACGTGACAACGTCTTATAATTCGATGCACGAAAAAACATGACTCATGCGGCGTTACCTCGCCCTGAGGCGTTCCATTTAAGACTTGAAGTGCAAGCGAGAGCGCGGAACGAGCGACAAAGAGGCACAATCGGCCTCCGCGTTCGGCAGCGTTCGACATCTGTCTCTCTCCTACTTGAGTGAGC